GGAACCCCCTCCAGCTCCTAACACAGCAGCAGCGGCTCCCGCCCTGTAACACGCTTGTGTAACAAAGTATCGAGCCTCTAATGCTCTAAAAGTTAAAAAAAAAAGCTCTTCCCCGTCGACCCCACCCCCAGCCCCACAGAACAGATGCTCTCAAGAGTTCAAGAGCGAGACAGGAAATGCTACTAAACCACAGCGGACCCCGCTCCAGGTGCTTTACACTTAGTAGTAAAACAGCACGTATTTAATAGAGTGGACCTACTCTGTGCAAACGTTTTTGTCCCTGAAACACAGTTTTTGTGGGAGCACGCCAGTATTTCTAAGGGTTGGTATTTCAGACTTCAGAGTAAAACAAAAAGAAAAGACCGTCTGGTAAAAGCCCGAACACGCAGGTGAGTCACGGCCTGCGGACGGGCCTCACCTGCGGCCAGGGCAGAGCGGGAAGCCTCCAGCCCTCCGCTCGCTCCCCTCGCCCTAAGGAGTCAGGTGCTGGGACCGAAAGAACCGTCCCCTGGCTGACCGACTAAGCTAATCAGAGGTGACGGCAAAGAAACTGCCAGGAGTTTCAGCATTTTACTTGAAAGCTTCGTTTATTTCTTATGAAACTCTGAAGGTTCAGTTCTCACGGACAGAGTGACTCCCGCATCAGGAAGGTCCTTCGGGACCTTGGAAACGCTGGTGAGCTGACCTGCTCTTCCTGCCGCTCTCTGCCCGGCCCTGGCCGTGGAGGCCGCCTGGGCGAACAGCACGAGCGCCTCCCCAGGGCCAGGCGCTGCGCCCAGGGCTCGCACCTACACCTTTCAAAAAACCTCTGGGCGGAAGGTTTTATAATATGACTTTCCTTCAAAAGAAACTGCGAGGCTGAGAGGCTGAGTAGCCCAAGGTCACGGGGCTGCAACTGCGGTCAGCCCCACATCACATTCCCTGCCCCTCCTCCCTGCTCTTTCCCTGACCCACTCCCAAGGAGGTGGGATGGGGGAGGAGATCAATAGAAAAACTTCCTGGAATAAATAAAACGGAAGGTCATTGGTAATAAGTATTAACCTAACCAGCTGCTCACAGACCAAGTAAACGTCAGCCCTGCGTCAGGAGCACAGAGTAACCCTGACCCCACCCCCCGAGTCCTCAGCGTGCTCCTCTCACTTGGGTCTTTCACCAACGAGCACTTGACGCTGAGCCTGCTGACCCACGCGCGTCCTCACTGCTGCACGTGTCGCTGAGCACTCACCACAGCGCCCTGTTTGACACAATACCCGGCCTTGATGACGGCGCTGTCAGCGGGCGGCTTGGGAGAGAAGTAAGGGAGGTGGCTCTGGGACCGCTTCAGGTGACTCCTGTCCACTCCTTCAGCACAGTCGCCGACTTCTTCTTTCTGAAATGAAGCAAAAGAGAAATTCCTTCTTGTGTGTTCGGCCTCGAAGCACACTCTCGCCAGCACAGGAAACACAGGCGATAAGTCCTAGTAACCACGAGCGGTGGGCCCTGGAGCAGCAGGGACCGCTCCCTAAAGTGCACGACTGACCCGGGACAGGAATCTGATTGGATACGGGCACAGAGCCCGGTACTTTGAGTGACAGCTGCTCCTCCAACAGCCAGGAGTGTCAGAGGGTCGCCCAGCTCCGGGGGCAGCTGCTGAGCCCACCAACCCTGCACCCAAGGGATCCATGTCCCTGCACCCGGGGAGCCATGTCCCTGCACCCGGGGAGCCATGTCTCTGCACCCGAGGGATCCATGTCCCTGCACCCAAGGGATCCATGTCCCTGCACCCGGGGAGCCATGTCCCTGCACCCGAGGGTGCCTGTCCTCCGCTCACACTTCCCCCAGGCACGTGCCCTCTGAAAGTCCTTTCTTACAGCACCAGTACCAAAACTGCTCCAGGCATTAAGCAGGGTGGAGAATAATTTCTGACATGAAAAATGTCTGAGCTGTGAGCGAGGAAAGCTGTTTACAGCGGACAACAGACCCTGAGCAGCACGGGGTCAGGGACGCCCCAAAACTCAGCTGTCCCTCAGTATCTGCAGAGGATGGTCCCCCTGCCCTGCAGACACCCAGCCCACAGGCGCTCAAGCCCCGAAAGGGCCCACAGCAGGCCAACGGCCAGCCCTCGGCACCCGTGGACACGGAACAGGCATTTACTGAAAAGAACCTGCATGTAAACGGACCACGCAGTTCAAGCCTGTGCTGTGCGGGTCTGGTCAGATCTCCACTTCTGGCGGCCAAAGCACATGGAAGACAGACTCAGAAAAACATGAAAAGTGAAGTTCTGTTGATCTGTGATTTCTAATTTTTTTTTTTACACTAAACACACTTTTGAAACTAGAAACAAATATATAAGTTTTCTGTGTTAACTGACTACTGTGCTAATTCAGAAGATGTGCTGTCCTGGTTTTGATAACGATACTGAAACCCACACACACAACGAAGAATGAGCTCATTACCTGGGTGGGGGTGATGATGGGGACCCCCCCGACAATGTCAGTCCTGTAGGACACCTGCTTCTTTCCGCAGTCACCGAGGCGACCCGGGTTCTCAGGGTGAGGCTGTGCGTCTGCCTGCTTTGGTACCTAAGACAGTAAGTGAAATGAATGGCTTCACAGCCAGCATTACATGACACCCTCTTTTATCACAGAATTTCCAGCTTAAATCGTCTATTTACATAAAACACGTATAAATACCCTGTATGTGACGCTTTAAGTTCTCACAGCACTCTTCCATCCCAGTCATCTTCATAACGCAGACATCGTTTACGTACTTGGGCAGGTACGACTCCACCCCCCCAGCCCTCTGCACAGGAGGGTCTTCGCTGCAGCAGCGACAGGCTCGGAGGCGCCGGGGACGCACTGCCTTCCAGCCAAGTCTGTACCCGCCGCCCACGCTCAACCGCTGTACCGCACCCCTGCTCACGGAGAGCCCTAACTGTCCCGCGGCTCCACGCTGAACCTTCTCCTTCCCTCTGTTCCTACCCCGTCCCTGCCACGTCCCTGAGGACAGGGGTGGTGACATATTCTTCACTACTGGCTTTAGGACAGAGTCTACCACTGAAAACATACGAGTATTCAATAAATGTCAGAAGACTGACTCAATGGATGAATCTAAAATCAGCAGGGGAAAATAATAAAATACTGAACATAAATTATTAAGTCTAAATGTTCAAATAACTTAAAACACGTATTAGGAATTTTAAAAAGCAATTCCAATACCTGCATCAGTGATAAAGCACTCACAAGAAAAAACAGTGACTGTCAATGCAGGGATTTCGTGTAGGACACCTCGCTACGGCGGACCTGGAGGCACTGCCGACGTTCAACACACACTTTAGTTCTCACGCGGCCTGGCCCGGGAGCAAGGCGCCGGTTAATCACTATTTCTGTCAGTGGACTGCTCCATGTTGTCAGTATTTGAATAGTAACTTTTTAAGGTCTGAATAAAATGTAATAAAACATACCCAGCACCAATTACGATGTTGCACATGATATTTAATCTCTCCAATGACTTAAAGGGCACTGAGGATCTACCAGAAACATTGTGACAAACACTACGGACAAGCACAGGAGTCTTGGTGTAAAGACATCTAATTTAAAATTAAATGTCTCTTCTGTCAGTTAATTCTGCTCCCAGGTCCTGGCACAGATGCAGGGGGCACCACTCACGCTGCACTCAAGACCCAAACCATTTACCAGGATTCCAAAGCAGCACAGCTTTCTCAGCGTGTGTGAAGCACCACCAGAACACTACTAAAAACGCCGACTCCCAGGCTCCACACCCAGCAGCTCAGATCAGTAAATCCACAGAGCCGCCTACGAAAGCGCGCTTTAAGCAGGACACAGACACTTCGAGGTGGGCATCTCATGAGCCACACCGAGGATCAGTGCTCCCAGCCTGGGCTCCTTCGTGAGGCCACTCGACCAGGTGTGGGGAGAAGGGGTGCTCAGTGGGGCCTGCGGACCAGGCTCGACGAGGCAGCTTTTTGCAAAATACAAGCTGAGCATGGCTTCTGCGCCGAGCTGTAGTGGACCCAATCCACACACATGTAATTTACGGGCATAATAACTGGTCTCTTGGGTGACTTCTGAGACTCCCTCCTCTCTCCTCCGGGAAGAATCGAGAGAGAGACAGAGACAGAGACAGACACAGGAGAGGAAGGGAGAGAGATGCTCCTGAAGGGGATGCCCCCGGGGTTCTCCTGAGGGTTTCTAGAGGCTTTGAGAGGCTTTCTGAGCAGTACAACAGGGGACAAACTTTACTTGACAAGATTCACACGACGCTTAAGAGTGAAAGGGCTCCAAGGACAGACCCCGGGAAACAATTCCCTCGGGAAGCCCACGGTGTTTCCTCATGAGCAGCATCTCGTATTTAGATTATTTTGACTGAGAAAATGTGAACAAGTTATCCCTTTAAAAACAGAAAATAGCACCAAGAGAATCTGAAACCAGAGAGAAAATGACCCAGTCACTGTATCAGCTGAAACGTGCGCTAAACGGGGCCCACGGAGGAGCAGTCACTCCCTTCCCGAGGCTGAGGGCTCAGTCACGCACGAGAACCGCCTACGGAGAACCTTTAACATCACCCTAAAAACACACTGGAACTTACACTGGTCTCTCCATTTTTCCTTCCAGAGATGACAGTATATTAAAAACCCTTGCCTAAGCTTAACTATTAAGCCCACTACTTCTAATTTGTCCTTATAATAAAATAAAATACTAAATATAGCATAAGTCCCATGTTGGAATTCAAGAGTTAACTCAGAACTGCATTTTATAATAAAAATTAGATAAATTATAATCACCTTTTCCCTAAGAACAAGAAAACATAAGCAGATTATCCAGGAATATAACTCCCTTAAAAATTCTAATAAAAATTAGTCTAAATTCAGCCATTAAAATGAACAGTTTTAGGACCAAGAAGAAAAAAAATAGCCAGCCGACCAATGAGAATCAGAAAAGTGACTCACTAGGCAGATAGCGAGTGTCAAAGACAGGCTGGCTTCAGGGGCTCAGCCCCTCAGTTCCGGAGGGAGCCCCGAGACCTCCCACGGCTCTTCCCTTAAAGCGAAAGGAGCCTGTGCTGCGCATCAGGCAACTGTAACCCGCGCATTAACTGGCGGTCACTAGCCGTCTTTCCGAGGGAATTTTCCACGTAGGGAATGTTAACTAGGGGGGTTGAAAACAACCAGTGGAGACCTTTCAGGAACATGCTGCTGAATCAGTTTAAAAATCGCTTTCTTGAAAGCGCATGAACCTAAAATAACTTCTGCTGCCTGCGGCTCGGCGGCCGGGCGTGGGCGTTTGTCACGTGGTGACAGGCTGCCTGGCGCAGGACGGAACGCCCACCAACTCGGGGACCAGCCTCCGCTGCATTAACTCCTCACTGTGCTGTGGCGCAAAGGCTCCAACACACTTGACTTTCCGGGCGTGTGTTTTGAGAGAGTTCTCTGGGGTAAGATAACTGCACTTTAGGGACCCCACCGGCTCACACAGGACTCCTCCCTGCCCCTTTGCATGTGGCCTCCTACGGGCCCCTTTGCCAGCGTTTAAAGAGGAAAAGGTAAGAAGCACAACCAGGGGTCAGAACCTGCTTCCCTGCTCCCACCACCAGCTGTCCGCCCTCTGAGAAAAGTCGGCTTTTGAGTGAGGGGCAGAGAGGCAGCGGCCAGGAGCCGAGCTCAGTGCGGCTCCGCCACCCAGCAGGCTGGGCCCAGCTCGCAGCGCCACTCACCAGCTGTGAAACCTGTAAACACGAATCCTTCTAAGCCTGGTGTTTCCACGACTCAGGTAAAACCTGAGCGCAGGCCTGGAGCACGGTAAACAATCAACACGCACCCATGTTCCTCAGAAAACCAGACAGAGGAGCTGGGTGGGAGATGTTACAGCACAGACAACGATGAGAGGGCAGCAAGCTCTGGGAGGCAGAGGGGATGAAGGGGAGACGTGGGTGCCAAGGGGGACGTGGGTGCAAGGGGAGACGTGGGTGCAAGGGGACAAGTGGGTGCAAAGGGAGAAGTTCAGAGCCCGAGACAAACTCCCTAAGGCCCCGTGAGCACGCCCTGGCTGCAGCAGCTGCTCAGGTCAGTCCCTAACCCTGGGCCTCAGCTCTGAGCCCTTCACCCCCCACCCAAGGGCAGTCCCAGGCAAGCCTGCTCCTGTCACCCGGGCGGCTGGCAGGAAGCCTGTTACTCGGAGAAAACGACACATCCTCACGGTGGAGCCCCACCGTGCACGCCCCCCAGAAACCCTGCTGTAAGCAGTGGCTCAAATACAGCAACACAGAAAGGGCGGAAAACCACTTATGGGCTGACTTTAGGGGCCACAGTCACCACGTACAAGAAAATGTGCTCACGCTATAAACCTGTTTATTGAATCAACTTGGAGCGTGCAGCCTATTGGTGATTCAGTTATCACTGAGCAGGTGTGTTTCAAAACGTCAAGATTCCCTTAAAATACAAACACTTACTGTAATTTTTATAGCTTTGTTCAACACATTCACCCACTCTACCAGGTCCTGCTGGTCGTTAGCTTGCAGGAAGTACTTCCGCATGCCCGCGTTCATGACTGTTGAGAGAAAATAAACCGCAACACGTGAAATTCTGCATTTTTTACCTCTAAGTTTATGTTTGTAGCCGCTGAAAAACCACGCTAGGTTCAATTCTGTGGCTCTGGGATTTGACAAATGTTACCCCACATACAGCACAGGTGCTGCTGTTATCACTCAGTAATGAGGGTGAAGTTCTTCTTTCAATGGTCAGGTCTTTCAGTCAACAAAGACACCACAATATATTCAGCCCATCCCCAAATGATGGACACTTAGGCCATTTCCAACTGTTGATATTGTACAAAACATCCCAATGAAACACCATACATGTACATTTCTCCACACCTGGGCCAGGATATTTCTATAGGGTAAGTTTCTGAACACAGGCTTGCTGGATCAAAGGGAATTCATAGTATTTTCACAGATCCTGGCGCACTGTCTTCCCAGAGGTTGGGTCCCTTTGCGCTCCTCACCAGCACTGCCCACCAGCACCTGTGGGGCCAAGTCCCCTGTTCTCACTCCAAGGCTCCGGGGCGCAGGGGCTGGGAGTCGGCAACGGCGTTTCCGAGACTCCCCTGCGCGCTCAGGTCGCGTCCGCCAACAGGACGTACCGATGGGAGGTGGGTGGGTGGGACAGGGGAGGAGCGGGGACTCTCGCAGCAGCAGCAGCACACAACCAGCTGGTCTGCTCCCTACAGGGCCTGGCACCCAGCAGGTGTCCCTCACTGGCTCCACGGTGGCCCCTCCCCGGCGGTGACACCACCTCTCCCACTGCCCCCAGCCCCGGGGTGGCAGCTGCTTCGGGCAGTTTCTAGCCTGTGGGTCCCTTCTGCACTCCCTCTGTGCTCTCAGCTTCCCCCATGTGAATACGCAATTCCCTGCGGCAAACATCCAGGGCTGGGAATGGCCGGTGCGGTGTCTTCCCGCCGGACCCTCCAGCCAGTGCCGGCGCCCTGGGGCTGGACACAGGAAAGGGCGGCACTCTGTGTGCAGACTCATTTCATCCCATTTTCAGTTCCAGGCCTCATCTCCCCGCTTCTCTGGGACAAGCGTCCCCACGCACAGAATTTCTGGAGATGCTACAAATGCCGTTTCTTGCTGGAATGGGGAAGGGTGGCTGCCAGGCTCAGCCACGTGCAAGTTGGGACTAAAGGCCGTGCGTCCCTGGTTTTGGTGCCTCGTCGCTGCTGCTTCCCCAACGCTGTCCGGTGCCTGCGTCTGCCTGGGGTGGGGGTGTGTCAGACGTTCACTGAGCGTCCACGAGTAACCCGTTAGCCCTCGGGTTTGTGTTGTGCGGTTTTTGGCGACTGTTTCCTTTTACAAGATGAAGTAATTATATTAGTCTAACTTAAAATAACCAACATATAAAACATGGCCACTTACCAAAGCAGAACTCCGCCTTTGGCCGTAGCTTGGTGGCATCGCTAACCTAATGAGAGAGAGAGAGAGAGAGAGAGAGACGGTCACTCGCTCCTGGCACCACACCAGCCTTGAGCACTGCGGACGCTCTCCCAGCGACCGCGCACCCAGCCACGGATCTGAAACTGGAGTCCCGCCCGAGGGGCTGGAAAAGAACTGCAAGTCACTCGGGCCCTGGGTCCCGACGCTGAGTGTTGGCGACAAGCGGTGCTTCCACGTTCTCTCGGGACAAACATGTCTTCTCCCAAAGGAAATGCAAAGTTGAAAGTAAATGACTAAGTTTTATGTCACACATATAAATATTTTTAGTTTAACGTATTTTGAAAAGTACCTCTACACTACTATGAATTCTTCCCAAGCCGTGTATTTCTAAATTAGCTGTGAACAGCGAGAGAAGGCGATGGTGGGCAAGGGTACACTTCGGAAAGACCAAAATCCAGACGGCAGTGCCCGGCCGTGAGGCCCGAGGACACCCTGGGACAACAGGGTCCCGTTATTCCTTCTGGAAGGTGCAGCAGGAGCCGCACCTGCCGGCCGCCGGCCCTTCAGGGAGCAGCTCTCCCGGAGGCCCCGTCACGGCCGCTGCCAGGCTGCTGCCCAGAGTCAACTTAAAACTGCGGCACTGTCTGCACGTCCAAGAAGAACTCCAAGTCTGGGTTCCTGACTGATCTCAACTATCAACTCCCAGCTGTGAGTCACACTAGTGTTTGTTCCAGGAATAAATTCGGGAAAAAGCGGCAGGTCTAAAGTGAGCACAAACTGTACCGTCCAAACTTCCGTAAGCTGCGGGACAGGGATGAAAGTCAGCAGAACTACACAGGGAAGGTCCCATTTTACAAGGGAAGCAATGGAGAAAGGGACAGCAGCTGCCAGGCAGCCTCCTTGCTTAGTTAATAGTTTATTTGTAAAAAGAGCTTCCGTTTTTCTACCTGAAACCAACATGAAATAGTACTGACTGTAAACTGTAACTGAAAAAAATAAAAATTTTAAAAAGGAAAGCAATCCTTGATTAAAATAAAGCACAAATAAAGTGCCAATATAAAGAAAAAAACAAAAGCACATTTTACCTCGGAAAAAAAAAAGGGGCGCCCATTTTTAAAAAGACCAGGCAATAAGCAGCTGTAAGGGCACAAGCCGAAGGGCAACCTCTCCCTCCACTGCCCGTTGCAGTGAAACAGGCCTCTCCACCCACGTCACCGAGGGTCACAGGTGCCGGCGGCACGTTTACGCCGCGGCACAGGTCACAGTGCACGTGACATAGACAGTCAAGCGAACTGGGGTCCAGAGCTTCACCATGCAATTCCATGCTTCCTAATTATATAGTCGGTGCGGAGTTTAAGCTGCAAGCTACCCTGAAGCATTTATTAAATGTCTTCATTTACAGGGACACTTGAGGTATAAATTTAAACAATATCTGTCTCATAAATTTACATTCTATGGCTTTAACATAAAATGTTTCCCTATAAATATGTAATCTTTAGTGTCCAAGGGCTAATTCTTTTGTCAATGAGAATGAATAGCTCTATTGTTAAAATATAAAATGTCTCTTAAACAGAGACACACTTGTAAACTGGTCCCCCGTTGGAGATCTCCGCCAACAATCCCATGCATGTGTAATAGTTGCATAAGCATATTTCTTAATCATTCTGTTGCTACTTTTCACATCCCACATCTTAAGTCACCAGCAAAAGCATTACTTTGTGTAAAACACAAGAAAACGCACAGGGTAAAACCTACCTGACGTTACCAAATCTAAACTTTTGAAAAGAAACACAAGTACTGAAACAATGCCGGAAAAGTCAGCAAACCAAAAAACAGACATCAGTAGAAAGTGAAATGAGGGGAAAAATCATTCTTTCATCATAAAGATGGTCCATATTTTCCTCAAAGTAAAACATAAAGAAACAAAAAGTAAAAGTAATGGAATTAAAAATTAAAAGCAGTTCAAATAAATACAACAGACTTAGAAAAACCTTCCCGTTTTCCAGAGACAGAACCTAACGCTGCCTGATTCCTCCCGATGTGCACACACCTCACCATGGACGCTAATGCTAAATGCTAACATCGGCAGCGTGCTCCAGTCGGTAGGTTAATTCCACATCTCCCTAATTTTACCAAAGAGCACCCTAAATATAGTCGTCAGGCACTATTTTCAGCGCGATGCAAGCCTGAACGTCACCATTAAAGGCACAGGAAGGAAACTATTCCTTTTACTCACGCGCCCGTTCTGAGAGGTTTTAACTGGGGTATAAGTGAAATTCAGTACAGACAGGTTACCTTTGAGATGTAGGTAAGTTTAATGGCTCCAACACGTGATGATCCCGAAGGGAGGTTCTAGAAAAAAATTATCAATATATAGTTAATACCCAACATTATGACTTTATGTTATAATTTCCTACACATTTAAAAAGTTAATCGTTTTTTTAATATCACATTTTATATATCAATTTTTTCAGTTCAAGTACATACGGGGTCTGAAATCAAGTTGACAATATGGGTAACAAAATTGAAGCCTACTCTGTTCCACCTGAATAGATTCTGTAACTAAAGAGCTGTTTTCATCATTGCAGCCAAACTTAATTTCTTTTTCATGAGCTTAAAAATCCATAAACAAGCCCTGGCCGGCGTGGCTCAGTTGGTTGTCACCCCAGAGCTGAAAGGTCGCCAGCTGGATTCCCGTCAGGGCACATGCCCGGGTTGCAGGCTCAGCCTCCAGTAGGGGGCGTGCAGGAGGCAGCCGACGGATGTTTCTCTCTCATCAATGTTTCTCTCTCTCTCTCCCTCTCTAGAAATCAATAAAACATATGTAAAAAAATAATTTAAAAAATCCATAAACAAGATCAGATTTTGTTCCTGAAAGCAACGGAAAAAAAATACTTAGAGACGTAAAACAACTGTAAGAAATTTCAAAAGACTATACATATTACTTTGTTCTATTAAAATTTTTAAATCAAGTATATCTGTTTTAAAAAACAGAATTTTCCCCATTTAAAAACTTTATATCGATACCATTTAAAATATATATATATTGACACTCTTTAAACCATACCAGGGAATGAATGTATATACTGACACGTCATACAAAGTATTTCTATTCCTCCCTTAAGTTTGGAATGTGGCTTGTGTCTTGAAAGAGAGAGAATCATTTCTGGCTAAGGCCACCAGGAAAGACTCTGTGGAGGAATACACGGCATTTAAAGGAAAAATCTGAAACAGGAGCGAGAGGGAGGATCCCCCAGGGAGAAAAGAGCGACAGCAGGCGGGTAAGGGGGACTCTCGGACGCTCCGCACTGAGGGGAGAAGCCGCTGTGATGCAGGGTCACCCGGGCTGCAGAACCTGGGTGAAGAACCTACTTAAAGGACCCAAATAAAAACGCAAAGATTTAAGGAGCTGACACTATCAAGAATTTGAAACCATTAAAGAAAGCTTGTGAGCAGCTCTGTAATCAACACTGTGCTTTAATTAATATACCTTGTAATACAATACATTGGGTGGAGTATAGAGAAAGAGAGAGGTAAGAAACCCAGATAAAGGAATCTGGAAAAAAATTAAAAGTATGAAAGACTGATAGATTTCAAAAGTAAAATTAAAATAATCTTGACTTTGAAAGTTTCCTCTGCTGTAGATTAAGCAAGATCAACTTTTTAACGGACTTTATAATAATGTACATTTTTTAAAAAATCTCGGGGCTAGTTCTCATGACTGATTTGAAGTACGTTTCCCAGACCCGTATAAGCTTCCCGGACACAGTTACTTATGTGGAAGCTACATCATTTCACAGATTTAAGGGCTCCAAACAGGAGCTTGTCACTGCCGACAGGGACGGGCGCTTTCAAACCCCACTCCCCGGCACAGGAAGGCCGCGCTGTGTTCTGCTGTAAACTGTGTACAACAGACGAGCTTCCAGGTACAAACCACAGAGAAATGTGGGTACAAAATCATAATTTTTACGTGTAACTCTGAATGGTTGTGTTCTTACACAAAATGTTTTACATTTAGAGGGTCTTATTTTTCTAAATTTTGGATAAAGAAAGGAAAGGTGAACTTGTCTTCACGACCCCCTCACCACCAAAGTGGCTTTTCAAGCACTGCTCCCTTCCCTTCGAAACTGTGACTCGCCTGTAAGTCCTCCGTGAGCCTGGCCCTCGGCCTCCGTGTGAGGAGGAGAAATGAGGAGCCGCGTCACCGCTACGTGACCTCAAGAAAGCGTCACAGCTTAACCAGCGGCACCGTACAGGACACATGAGCAGCTGGGGATAAACAACACGCAAAACACCTTGTGCTACGGACCAGCAGGACCGCTGCCAAGTCCAACTAGAAAAAAGTGGGTTTCAAAATGTGTCCCTGGACGGTGAACAGAGAATAATAAACTAGTGTGACATTTAAGATAAAAAGAGAAACAAGCCATCTGTCCTTACGCGTTCCTGCTGTCTTTCTGCCAAGAGACTTTTCCAGGTTTCTTCCCATTCACTTCCTAATACGGCTACTCAACGGCGGGATCCTGACCACCATCCGCGCCCTCGAACAACACAGAGTGCCCTGGCTGACCCCCAGAACACAGAGCGGACTTTTTAAATCAATGGTGAGTGATGAAGAAAGAAAGCGGAGGAAGAGGGGCTCCCTGAGCACAGGTGAGCCAGACGAAGGTTGTCCTCAGGGTCCTGAGGATCTGAAAAGAGCCCGGTAACCGCAGCAACCAGACCGAGGCGCAGGAAGCTGCCGCTTCGGTTCAGAACGTGGTGCAGGGGCCCACCTGACGCAGCCCTCCCGGCGGGACATCTCACCCAAGTTTTCGTGGAAGATTAAGTCTTTATTGGGACATTTCACAGTGACACAGCTGGCAGGACGGCTAACACAATGGTTGGCAGAATCAAGACTGTGATAGATTCTCGTCAGTTGGAATAAAGAGATAAAATTACTGAGAACAAACCAAACAGAAGGACAGATTTAAAATTCTGCACATTTAAAAAATCACAATGTGCTAATTATACCACAGACTCTGGTCAAGTAAATAAAGGTATTAATCGTGTAGTTGCACAGCCAGGTTCCTCCCACCCGAGAGGGCTGGTTACACCCAGAGGTGAGGGAGTAAAGCTGGGCATCAGTAAGCTCTAAGAACAAGGGCAGAGAAAAGGCAGCTCCTAGCAAACACAGTCTCATCCAAAGTCAGCACTCAAAATAAGCTGAATTAAATTCCCATTACCCTCCAGAATCTGAAAGGCTGCATGAGGACAGAGGTCTAGGCCCACTTTACAGAGAATCAAAGGGCAAAAGCAGGGTTACTGGGTAGGGGACCCAAGGCACTAGATTATGGCTTCCAGAATGAGCAATAACTGGGGCTGTCTCAAATACAATACATGCTTTTTAGCACGTGCAGCTCAAACAGGGAAGGTGAAGACTGGGGTAAATGGGTTCCTTGCATTAAGGAGGCTGAATTAATACCAAGGTCCATGACAACTCAAATTCTGTGTGAACGACTATAAATGCGTGAGCATGTATGTATTTTATCTAATCTAGTCTGTACGGGGTAGTAAATACTGGGTGAGTTGTCTGGGGCTCTAGTTCCCGCCCTGCGCAACAGAGTGGCGCCTGCTCCCTGCACAGAAGCCCATGAGGCTGAGAAGTTCGCCAGGGACCCCCCTCTTGCTTCACACACGCTTCCCTGCAACATACATCTCAATGTGACTAAGGAGTCACAGGCAGAGAAAACATAAAAAGCTTGACAGATGACCTCTAATCCAAGGTCTCTCACCGATCTTAAAACCAGGATTCTCATTTTTAATTTACAACACTTACCCCCAGTGACGTGCAAGGCAACAATAAAACAGTGGATTTCAACTCAGGAACGGCAGAGCACTGGCTGACACTCGTTTCCACACTGTAAGGTGAAAGGACTACATACGTGCAAGAGTGTCCCCTAGTTCACGTAGCTTATTTCCAAAAGACAGTAGTGTCTGCCTTCGAGACAGCATCTTAAACCTAAACAAGTTAAAAAATTTCTACCAGAAATAGTGTTTCTCTCCCAAGGGAGGAAAAGCATATATGACACATAGCTTTTATCAAATAAATTTAGTTTCATCTCCTGAAACTGAAATAAGACAGTAGGAGCTGGGGTGCAGGGCAGGGAGAGTGCTGCCAGTAGAAATAAATCTAAGTATACCCTGTTTAGGACGACACATCAGTAGTATGTCAAATACTTTAACAGTGAGAACTTATATGCTTTTGAGAAAGGGAACCCTGTGGGTCTTACAAACCTGTGGATTATCCATGTACCACACAAAGCTGTCTTCTCTGGTATCCAATATGAAGTACCTCCGAAGAAACTTCCCGCTGTTCTCATTTTCTTCAATGTCTAGGAAACCACAAATGCGATTCTGACGATCCACATAAGGCATCTCTGAGCCTGAACATTACACTGTGAAACAAAGTATCAACAGTGAGCACATCACTCTGTGGGACACAACAGCAACAGTGAGCACATCACACTCCGACAAAAATAGCAACAGTGAGCACAGCACACTGTGAAACAAAATATCAACAGTGAACACAGCACACTGTGAAACAAAATAGCAACAGTGAGCACATCACACTGTGAAACAAAATAGCAACAGTAAGCACATCACACTGAGACAACAGCAGCAGTGAGCAGGGGCAGGGGGCTTCCCCCGTGAAGTGGGCTGTGGCGAGACTTGCTCACAAGGAGCCCACCTGCCGACACGAGGTGGGAGCGGGTCAAGGTGATTACACACAAGGCAAGGGCGAAACCACTTTAAAATTAAGCTTATTATGAGTGGTTATGACGCGCCACTTGAATGATTTACTTACTTTTCCGTAAACAAATCCAAGTGAACCAAAAAAACTAGCTACCCAAACCTTCATTTCCTCACTTACAAATCAAGGTATCTACCTTTCAGACTGTTTTAGAATATTTTTAAATTTGCAAAACGATGACAGTTGGCTGCTTCCTACGTGCCGGGCTCCGTGACTCTCTCCCAGGCGCCCTCGCTTAGCCCTCAGGACGCCCCTCCGCGCAGGCACCATGCCTCCCACTCCCAGCCGAGAAACAGCCCTGAGGAGGGGAGGCGGCCTTCCAGGCAGGGGGCCAGATTCCTGGACTCCGAAGCGTGTATCTTAATCTCTACACCATCCTGTCTTAAAACCAAAGTGAACCAAATCAAAGTTAACACAAGGGGAGAGCGAAGCGGGTACTTCGTGCCTCCTGAAGGAAGAACAAACATCACCAACGAAGTGAACACACTGCAACCGCAACAAAACCTTTTTTCCTGAATCTGCCCGTCTCTACACCTCCCTGCGTCCCACCACTGTACAGGACATAAAGCACAGGGGCAGCACATCAGAGGAACCAGAGGGGTTCACACAGCAAAAGCCAAACTGGGAAATGGCAGGACAAAGGGCCAGTTTCCCCTGCACATCAACTACCACGGGGAAAATGAGGGGGGTGTAGATTACAAGACCAGAGGCATGTCCCACTGTGATTCTGAAAGACTGAAATTTTTATTGTACTGGTTCAAGTTAAAAACCATGACTTGGATTGGAAAGCAGCGTTTAGTCACTTTCTCTAGAAACTAGTATGCGATCCCCTTCTGACACGCAGGCTGCTCCTGCTCCGGCACTTGCAGAGCCACTGCCAAAGCGCCAACATCTTCGGCAAGTTGAATTTATTATGCAACTAGGTTTTCGTAGAGGCTCAAGGAAAGTTTAACTCACCGTGGAAGCTCAGTTAGTACGCACCCGGCTATACACAGCCGGAGAAACATACCAAAAAGTTCCAAACAAAACTACCCATCAAGTTTGTATGTGAGTTATTATAAATCTGGTATGTACAGAACTTTGTTAAAGAACTTACCCAAAGTTTTTTAAAATTTATAAAATGCAATCAAAACTAGAAAACTTAAACTACATACTAACGCACACTGCAGGTAAAAACTATCCACTTGTATGGTGCTGCCGGAAGGTAGAGACAGACCAAAGGAACAAGAACCGAGAACCCTAAGTTCTGGACGCATCTCATCTTTGGAAACACTTGGTGTTGTCGGTCTGTTTCATTTCAGCCATTCTGGTGAGAGTGTATCTTTATTAAAAAATTCAGGATTGTTGAGGCATAACTTACACATAGTAAAATTTACCTGTTTCAGTGTGCAGTTCCCTAAGTCCTGACGTATGCATATAATTGTGTAAACTCCACCACAATCAAAATACACAACACTTAACGTCACCAAAAAACTGCCCGCGTGCACCTTTGTGCTCAGCTCCTATTCTAAGCGCTGGCAACTCTGAGACGTTTTAGCACGAAGTTTTGTGGTGTGTTTTTAATCTGTACGCCGTCCTAAAAGGCTCTCTTTGTGGCACTTGGGCCCGAGAGCTCTGATAGGTGCACAGTCCTGTATCCCACCACCACCAGGACACAGGACAGGGGCATCCCTCCAGAAACCACCCTTGGAGGCCACCCTCCCCCCCTGCTGAACTGTTATCTGCCCCAGTGGCCTGTTCTGGGCCGGCTGCTCTCACTTAGCAAACGCATCTGAGATGCGTCCGAGCCGCGTCCATCAACAGCTGTTCTTCGTGTGTCGCGGGGCAGTCGGGCGACCGCAGCTTATTCATTTACCATCGCAAACGGCCCCTGGGCTGCTTCTGCTGTTGCTGCGGTCCTCACTGCCCCCAGGTGTCTGGTGCAAACACCGGCTTTCAGTTCACGCGCACACCGAGGCGCGGGCTGCTGGGCTGCTGGGCTGCTGGAGGGTAAGTTCAACTTTGCAAGGACCCGCCAAGCTGCCCCCGCGGCTGCACCACTCTGCAGTCCCCCCGCAACACGCGAGAGCCCACCTGTTCCCCGCTGGTCAGCGTTCGGTGTTGCCACGGCTTTTCTTGTTGTTTCGTCTGTCCGAGCCGCTCCAGTAGGTGTGCAGCGGATCCTATGGTTTTTCTTTGTGGTATCTTCCTGAGTAACGACGACCATCTTTTTACGTGTCCCGGGGGGTGGTCAGACCTCTTCCCTACGGATGCTCAGCCGTGGCGAGCTCACGCGTTCCCACAGCCCCAAACGCGAATCCCTTCCAATCCGCCATCCCCGGGCCTGGACACTGACCCCAGGCCCAGGTCTACAACCGGCCGCTCTGCCGATCTGCCCCCTTACCTAACAGACACCTCGATTCCCCTCAGAAACTGGCTCCTGTCTGTCCCTCGGTAAACAGCCACCCCCTTCTTCCAGCCGTTCAGGCAAAACACCCTGGGAGTCACCTCTATGGAGTCTCCTTTCTCCCTCATTCCAAGTCCCGTCCTCCAGCAAATCCTGCTGGCTGCACCGTCCCCGCAGCCGCTCCGGCTCGGGCCCCGTCACGCTCAGCTGGGTGACTTACTGCGGGACGTCCTCGCATCTGCCCCTGTGCCTCTGTTCTCTGCAGTCAGAGCCACCCCATTAAAATACACACTCAAGCGGTTCAACAAACACTGACACATATTACTACCTGCCAAGCACTGTTGTTTTTTCGCTTGTTTAAATATATGTGTTTTAATATATCTTTATTGATTTCAGAGAGAGAAGCATCGATGATGAGAGTCACTGACCGGCTGCCTCCTGCACAGCCCCTGCTGGGGGTCAAGCCCACGACCCGGGCTGAGCCCTGACCGGGAATCGAACCCTGACCTCCTGGCTCCTACGTCGATGCTCAACTGCTGAGCCGCGCCGGCCGGGCCCCGGCACTGTTCTGAATATTAGTTCGTTTAGTCCTTATAACAACAATTTTACAGATGAGAAAAAAAGACAGATTTTTAAAATCCCTTGTCCCAAGGACACGTGGCCAGGAACTGGCAGCGCCAGGATTCAAACGAGGGGAGCTGGCCCCTCAGTGCCAGGACGTGACGCCCCTCCACTCAAACCTTCAACTCTGGCTGCTCATCAGAATCACCTGGGAGCTTCTGAAAACCCTGATGCCTGGCTGGACGCCCAGACAAATTCATTCAGAAGCTCTGAAGATGAGACCTGGGCACCAGCGCCTTTCCAAAGCTCCCAGGTAATCCCAGTGTCCAGACGAGGTAAAGCCGCTGCGTCAGTGCAACCATCTCACTCAAAGTAGAAACCAGGCTTACACGCCTCCACCCCCCTCGTCCCCCCCCACCATCGGGCCGCGGCACTCGACTACGTCACAGGCTCCCATCGAGGCCTGTTCACCGGAACGTCCTTTCCTGCGCGAAGTCTCGAGGCACCTTATCTAAGCTGCTCCGAACTGTCCCGCGCGTCCCGCTCCGTCCCCGCATCTCCCAGCATCTCCTCGGCACTTCCTGCTCACACACGATGTCCCTCACTCACGGCCGGACCCGCGGGCTGCAGGCTGGACGGTGGGCTCGGGCAGGGATTTCCTCCGCTGGCTGTCGCCGCCCCCGGCCCGCAGAGGGGCTGGCGCAGGGGGGCCTCAGGGACCGCTGAGTGAAGTGTCAAGAAGCCCGACTGCTGCAGCCGGTCTCCGCTCAACTTTCTAAACGCACAGCTGCTGTTTCCTCATCAGACAAGACCTCACTCAGCAGACGGACGTTCTGTTGAGACGATGGAGGAAAGGGGGCAACGCTGTTTTCCGTGGGTTATCTTTTCAGCAAGGTTGTGTGAGGCAGGAACGGGTCACACTGTACGACTGAGGCCCCCCAATACTCATCCTTACAGTCAGCTGCACATTAACAAACTCCCAGCTCATGCTTCACCAGGTGGGAACCAGGAAGCCAAAAAGTGAAAACAAAAACCAAAGAGAGACAGAAGAGAAAAATCTAGGAAAGTTAAATTCTGCACAGTGGGGCCTGACTGGGCCCCAGGGCTCCCCAGTCGCTAGCTGCTGAGCAAGAGCAGGACGCACGGAGCTGAGCCAGCGTGGACGCCAGCGCTGACCCCCACGCACCCCTCAGGGCCCTGGCACCCTAACCAATGCCTAACCGTCGCCTCACCCTGTACAAGCAGCTGACAGGAGAGAGGAAAAAATCAGGAGTCTCCCAAGTCTTCGGGGAGAGCCCAGGGAAAGGAACGGGGCATTCACCCAAGAGCAGGGGCAGGGGACACCCAAGATACGAAGTGCACCCCGTTCTTAGCTCAGTGTCTGCTTGTGAGCTGTCAGGGCACAGAGGGGGCTCCAGCAGCCTGCAGGCCGCCAGCTGGCATCACTAGGAAGCGAGGTCCCAGGGCTGAGGTGGGAACTACACTAGGCGGCTGGACTTGAGGATCCTGCCGGCATCAGAAGAAAAGGTCCCCGGCCCACCTCGCCCCACACGCTCACAGGGACCAAGGAGGGGGCTGACAGGACGGACCGAAGAGGTGGGGGTGTAGGAGAGCAAATGTCATATTCAGGGACCCTGTGCAGGGCAGTTTCCCTGCAAAATCTCACCAAAATCCCAGCCTGGACTCCTACCCGTGGACATCAGTAGCTTGTCACTGTTGATGAAAAGAGAGCTCTAATGCCACCAGGCAAGAAATACAGTCCTTTCCGTTTTTCTTCTGACCAGTCCGGGTCCCAGACATCCCAGGGGAGGGAAGGGAAAGCGGTGCCCTGGGAGCACGCCACACCCCAATCCCTCCCGCCCCCAGTGCCCCAGCAGTTAGTGGCCTGACCCTGGGTGAGGGACGAGAGGAGCTGTAAGCTGAACAGAAGGCTGAAGGTTTAAACTGAAATAGGTTAAACTGGAGCTTTTAATAGCTGTAAATGCAGAAGAGCGACCGTTTGCCATGATGTCATGAGGCAGGGGAGAGGGGCAAGAGGAACATCCTACAGATCATTGTCAAAAGCAGCGGATGTTGAAATAAACCTGTTTTATGTTTGTTCTCCCCCAGCTTGGGCTGCTCCCTAACCTGACGGCCTAGGGAACAGCACCGCGGACCCCATGGCCAAGAGAGGGGCACCCGACATGGAAAGTCCCAGGGGATTTCACTGTCTGGGGTATGACGCTGAGGTCAGTCCTACCCTAAGGGCCCCCGACTGTCCTTTCACAAGAGGGCAGGCTGAGGATAGAATTGAGTTCAGCAGTTAAAACTCATAAACATCTAAGCCACATGACGGGATAAAACCATCAGATGGAGAAGTCTGATAGGGATTCCATGTCGGGAAAAAAATAGGACTTAAGAATTTAAAAATATTTAAGACTCTCAGACTTATTTACATATTTAAAAACATCCTAAATAACTGATTTTCTTTTACATTCGACAGAAATTCCAGTTCAAAAAAGTTTGTGCTATAAAATCCCCAAAACACAATCTTCCTGAATCTAAGCACTTTGTCTAATCAAAGGGCTTATCAAAATAAAGAGCAGACATGCTCGCTGAAATATCTTCTAGGAATTATAAACTCATGTGCTTTGTCACGCACGAGCTACTAGGAAAAATATTACTTAAGAGTTCAAACGGTTTAACGTGTTGCTCCTTAAAGCATAACAGGGTCCTATGGCTGTAACAACGACCAACAGGAATTTTGAGTTTTAAATAAAAACGCACCCTATTTTTATGTTTCTAAAAATAATTAAGCATTATAGACAAGCACCTAAAGCTACCAAAAGTTCCTGCCTGAAAAACACATTTCTGATTCCACTTCAATAAATCTCCAAACAGTGTGTACTTACAAATGGTCAAAAGAATTAAAATTGGCCCTGGCTGGATAGCTCCGTTGGTTAGAGCATCCTCCCAATATGCCAAGGTTACGGGTTCCATCCCCAGTCGGGGCACATACAGAAGTCAACCAACGAACCCATAAACGAGTGGAACCACAAACGGAGGTTTCGCTTTCTTTCTCCTCTCCTCTTGCTCAAAGATCAATCAACAAAAATTAAAAAAAAAAAATTAAAACTAAACTTTAACAATTTATCTCCTAATGAAGCCACTTTATTGTCTCGCTGCAGACCTGAAGTGACAGAAGAATCACCCTGAAACGTAGTATCGAGTTTTAACGTTACTGAAAGTAGGATGCTCAGGCAGGCGGAGCGGCTGGGGGCCCCTCGGCTCGCAGCTGAGCAGCTGAGCAGTCGCTGCGGTAACACCTGAAACTTACCATCTAACCAAAGCAGAGGGTAACTGCTGTCGCACCTGAATCACCACATTCTACGCGGAAAACCATTTACCTTCCCCACTCTTAAATGGCAGAGTTCATTAAATAAGAACAAGAATAACTATTTTACATCCAGCAATAATATTTCAGTGGCAAAGTCGGACTTAAGTTATTCTAATAAATGACTTCACAGACTTCATTCTGGGTTACAAATTACCATGGAGTCAAAATAAATGTGGGTTTTGCAGTGTGGCTCTAAGAACTTCCAGGCTTACGTCTTTTTTTTTTTTTTTTTTTTTTTAAGCTGCATTAAATGTTTCTGGAGAAAAAGACCCTATAAAAATATAAAATATTTCTATCTTTCTCAAGTATTTACCTAGGAGTCTTCCATACCATTGTATCCTACACATTAACAACACGAGGGAATTACCCACGGCTACTTTTCAAACAAAATAACCGCCTACTATTCTTAATGCGCTTAAACACGTCTAAGAAGGTCCTTCCTGCTTAGGAACTCGGGCAGTTTCCTAACAATTGTATACTTATCCTGTTTTACTGTCTGTCCTAGACTATGACAAACTGGATTACGCACCCCCTTTCCTTTTTGCTTCAGTTGCTAAAACTAGAAAATAAAAAGATACAAACCTGCTACTTGCCCCTCCTCGCAACAATAAAAGTACTAATCACCAAGATAAAATGAGATACGAAGCAGTTTCAATACATACCACATCATAACCTCAGAAAGTTACCCACTGCCTACCAAAAAGGACACATCCAGCCATCTCCCTCCACGCAGGCACACTGGGCAGAAACGTGCCAATGGATACACTGCGGGGTTTGCAGCACTATAAGGTAAACTATTAACTCAAATTCTGCTACGTTTAAATATGTTTGTTTAAATACATCAGTATTCTAAAGTGTAATTTCCCTGGGGAAGATTTGGCCAAGAGGGAGAGAATTAAACAAACTCTATTTGGGGCAACATCTTTCGCCACAGCGCGCACATGAAAATTCGCGCGTGGAACGTATCGGGCACTTTAGTCCGAATGAATCGCACTATCTTTTGAAATAACAGGTCGAGTTCTTGAGACGATGAAGAAAAGCAGTTCTACAAAATGACTTTTAAACTTTTTTCCTGGATCCTACGAAGCTTCCCCAGATGCTGCTGAAAAGTGTTCCAGGGTCATGAAACACCCCGGGAAAGCCCGGCGCCGAGCGCGTGGGGGGCGCGGCGGGCCGAGCAAACCGACGGTGCAAGCCTCGCGCCGCGCGCTCCCGCCCTTAAACACGCAGGAAACGGGGCTTTCTGGTTAGAAAACTACCTCACCAAGAGCAGGGGCGGCACCGAGGCAGGGACCCTAACGAAAGGAGACCGGGGCCGAGGGCCGGGAGGAGACGGGAGTGCACCAGCCGCGCGCGCGGACCCGCCCCCCCAGCACCGAGGTTCCCCCTTTCGGGCGGGGGATGCTCTGGGGCGCAGCCTCATGGGACCCCACCGAGGCCGCCAACCCGCCCCGCGGGGACCACGCTCCTCCCCCGACGGCCGGTCCGTCCA